ACCCCTGAAGCTCCTCCAGGACCCATTTGAATTTTGCAGAGTACAATATGAAAATCACTGACCAGAAACATACTCTTATACACAGCCTAGTCAACACACACTAAACCATTCTTAAACCCAGCCCATACTCTTTAGCAACTGCAATAACAGAACATAATACAGTGCTTATGAACAGCATGGAACTGAAATGTGTGGAGAGCATGTCTGCCTAGTTTGCTGAGTTAGTGCCCAATTAGTGCTTTAGGCTGATATAGTTATTTTATCTTGCTAGATAAAGGAGTTTGCCTGCTTTGCTATAATTATAATGATTTATATATGAATATGAGATGTAAGACATGTAATGGAGGATCGCGAGATGGTGATTTCTCCACACTGGCTATAGTCTGTTACACTAGGAAAAATCCTCATTGGAGGAGTAATTGTTGCCATGGGGCGTTGCCTAATGTGGAAGAACTCTAGTCTATATAAGGAAGTGTATTCCTTTGTTTGAGTGCCTTCTCCACACAATTAATAAAGCCTCAGAAGGATCCTAACTGTTGCGTGCTTTCTTGCTGGCGAGCGGCGCGCGACAGAAATGCAGATACTTTGTACTTATAGAAGGAAAACAAACCACATATAAAGTTGCTTATTAGATCCTCTTTATTCATAATAAATTTGTATGCTCATACCAATTGCACTAGTGTTGTCATTAATTGCGTCCCATGTGAGAGTTTTTCTCAGAAATTTGCATTGATATTTAATGCCTATATTTTTTAGTTTCTTGAAAAGGACAAAGCAGTCCAGTCAAGGCCACAAGACTGCTTTTCTCCTAAGAAACTGTCAGCCAAATTTCTCAGGGAGGAACTGGAAATGAAATGAGAGACATTGATAAATTTCCCTGCTGAACAATCAATAAAAGCCCCTCCATCCTGCTCAGACTCCCACTGTGGAAGCAAGAGCCATAATTACATTGTCAAAAATTCAAGTTGCCTCAGCTGACAGCGACCCCCTTGAAAAGTGACAAATGATTGACACTCATTTCAGAGTGGTGAAGCTGGATTGTCAGATGGTGTAGCCAAGGCAAGAGTCAAGAGCCAAATTTCCTTATTGATCACAACCACTCAAACCCCAGACCTCCTTAGTAGGAATCCTGAAACTCTTTGGTCATACTAACTTGTCAAAGTGAGCAGGTGAAATGACTTATTAAACAGTCTGAACTTCACCTGAGATTTAGAACATGCCCTGTTGGGATCCACTACCAGACACAGAAAGACAGTGGGGGAAGGGTTACAGGTGTGGGGGGGGTACTGTGTGTGTGTGTGTGTGTGTGTGTGTGTGTGTGTGTGTATGAGTATATGAATGTACTAGTTTTTGTGCATTTAAAGAAAGACATAAAACATACTTTCAACTCCAGCTTTCCTTGTGACAGCTGAGCAACAAAGTCTGCTGTTTGCTTAGTAGTTTCAAACTAGGGAAAGTGATGAAGAACAGGAAAGAAGGGAAGTGGAGAGAATGGTATCACTGACATGCAGGCCCTTTTATGTGAGTCTGTATGATCCAAGTGAGAGCCAGATTAGAATTCATCAGTTTTCTCCCTGATGGATGTCAGGAATCAAGCCACAAAGGACCATTTTTAGGGGCAGTGAGTGGCCTGCTTCTGACCACATTAGGGCCCAGGAAGGTGGATTCTGAGAATTTGTTTATAACTGACCCCAGGAACAAAGATTGTCCTGTGCTGGGAGCTGCTGTACCATAGAGATAAAATCTCAAGGCATCTGTTGGTTGTGGGAACAGAACAACAGGTGCCTGAGAGTGTTGCTACCTTGTGATCTCCAAGGCTAAAACCCACTCTCACTTTAATGGAGAGAGATAGGCATGAAAATTAATAGAGAGAAACATTACTTGGCAGAGAGGGCCCTGTGACAATTTTTGGAGAAAAAAAAAAGCCTCTGCCCCTCTTTAAAATTTCCTCACCCCTGAAAAAAGAAAATTATTGGCACTGAATACTTAACTGTTTTGGAAAAGAACAGAATCAAAATCGTAAGAACTACTAGTAGTTGTGAGTCACCATGTACTAGAAACTCTGAAGTATGTCATGAACCAGGAGTACGAAGGGTTGATATGTTTGCTGGTTTCAGAGATCAGTTTTCCCAAGGTAATGGCTGATGAGCAGCAGAACTGAACTGATTTGATTCCCCAACTATCAACCACTAAAGCCAGTGAGTCGCTGTGTACAGCCAAGGGATTGCCTGTTTCAAATCAGAGGGCCCCACCAAAATGCTCATTCTCAGGGCCCACCCCAAACCCACTGAATTAGACTCTGGGGGCGAGACCCAGAGATCTAGACCCATAAGCTCTCTTCAGAAGAGCCCAGTGCACTACAAAACTGGTGAATCTCTACACCACATTATCCTGAGGGGATGAGTATGTGTTGGGTCATTAGGGACTTTCTGGATACAAGACAGTGAATCAAGTTGTTCACAGCTTTGCGTATTTGACAGCAAAGGAAAATTAGTTTTTCTCTTTAGAGAAAATGAGAGAAGCCTCAGTGTCACCAGACCCACCTTTGGCCCTGGGAAAAGGCCAGTGAAATTATGTAACGATTTTAAGCATGATATACCACCATGCCAGAGGGGAAATCTGTTTGAGACCCCAGGTGGTGAGGGACAGTGGGAGCAGGATTGATGGATGAGCCACACGTGTGCCTGTGTGTCTCCGACAGATACATCAGAAAAGGGATCTCTTTGGCCCTAATGCTAAGCTGTCTTCTACATAATGTCTCTTTCAAATGAGTATGACTGCGGCATCACATCAGAGAGGCCAGAGCTTGATTTTGCCCATGTTACATGTGCAGCTCTATACATTATGAGAGGTCCTACTCACTCCTTTAAGAGAAGGGGCTTAGGGAATGGATTAAACAGCTATGATTGGTGGGTCTGAAAATACAGGAGAAGAATATGGACAGGGACAAGAGGAAGAGGAAGAAAGGCAGCAAGAAGAAATGGAAAGGGAGTGGGGGGAGAAGACGGAAATAAGAGTAGCAGAGGGAAAGGAGGTTTCAGAATCTACAATACCCCACAGGTAGAGTAGCAACTTTTTTTAAATTTCAAAATTCTCAAAACACATTAGAAGTATTCATTTTGCTTTAATTGCCCGATATTAGCTATAAACAATGACACTAATTATTTACTTAAAACGAAGGACAAGATTTATTTAAAATACAGGTATATAAGCGTGTACTTATGTACTCTTTAATCTCTCACAAGTTGAACGTGAGAGTGAGAAACAGTTGCAATGAAAACGGCAGAGTAAAATAATTAGGACAATTTCACCCCTCATTTGAGCTCCAATTTCTAGCAGGAGTTATACCATCTGCACTGTATAGGACATTGGCTCTGGAATCTGAGGACTCTCAGGTCCTTTGGATGATCAAGAGCCTGGACAAAAGCCTGATCTGTGCCCTTTTGTTCTATGCCCTTTTGTTCTTCAGCTGTTTTTTTCCCATGGGTAAACAGCAAAACTGATTTGATGTCTTAAGTGACCATCAGTCTAGAGCACACACCTGAAGACCATGGCTATTTGTGAATGAACAAGAAATGCTTGTGGGTCCTGGGCTACAAGGTCAGCTAAGTCTGGCAAATTAAGGTAGGAAGAAAACAGACCTTTTGGAAAGAGAATATGAAAATCAGGAGAGCAGGCTTTTGAACTTCTGTCCAATAGTTATTGAGCTTTTAAACCTTATTGTCTCCAATGACCTCCATTGTCTAGCTTAATTAAACACCTCAGGAAAAGATCTTGTTTCCTCATATAGTAAAACAAAAGAGGCCAGGAAGTGCTTTCTGGTAAACAATGACTGAGACTCACAGTTCCTTATAGATAGAGCCTAGACAGAGAAAAATGTCAATCTCGTTAGCACATATCTAGAACAATTACTCTGTGATTGCGGAGTTTTATTTTGTCATGCTAATACAGAAATGTCAATGTAGAAAACACCACATTTTCTGGAAGTTGGGATATTGTCAAAAGCCCACAGTTTGATCTGCCTTTGGCACATGCTGTGCAACCAAAAGTATGCACATATCCACAGAAATATACATAACACTCAACATTGTCCAGTTGATCCTGTCACACTTAGTAATTTCCTGAAACTTAAGGGGGAAAAGTCCATTGTGCAAAGTAGAATTAGGCAATCAGAGGCAAGTAAAGGGGAAGCAGAAACATACGTTAGCCTAATCACAGTTTTCTTCTAATAATCCATGAACATCCAACCCATTTGTATGAGGATTCCAAATGTAATTGAACTCTGTTCACAGGCTAGTGATGGGAGAGGGAAGAGGCTTACCAACAACAATAAAATGAAGTTACCCTCATTTGGTTTGTAATGCCAGGATATTACAGGTAGAAAAACATTAGTGTAGGCTAAATATCAGTCAGTTTTTGCCAGGTTATGCTGAAATTACAAATTCAAATCTCACAGGCTTAAAACAACAAAAGTTCCAATTCGTTACTCACAAACAAGACAGCAGTAATCAGATCTGCCACATGCTGTCTTAATTCAGTTTCCCACATTGAATGAACTGCCCTGATCAGGGATGGGCTATTCTCAAGTGGAGAAAAAGAGCAAAATGGCTAAAGCATGGGAACAACTCTTAAAACTTTTACTGATTATGTAATCTATAACTTCTGCTCATGTGCCAGTAGTCAAAACAAGTCCACAGTCAAGCCCACTCTCAGTGGAACAGGGAAGTATGTCCACCCACACAGAGACTGAGCACCTGACAGTGGGAAAAGCCTCCAATCCGCTCACAGGAAGAGGAATAATTGGGAACCATAGCATAATGTGCCATAGGAACCATAACAATTTTATTTGTTGTTTAAGGAAATCATGTCACGCTCTAATTGACCTGTTGCCTCAGCAACTAATAGCCAAGTGTTTTTAAATAGTTTTATCAATTGCCATTGCTCAGGCACTTGTTAGACACAGCCCTATTTCATTTCCTCTGGTCAGTTGCTAAACTCACCATGCAGTGAAAGAGTTCCATTCCTCACAGCCAGGAACTTGACACCATAGGGAAAGAAGGGAGAAGAGTGGGAATTCCCATAGAGTTTGATCTGAGCTTTGCCTTGGAAGGGCTTATCTTCCGATCCAATCCGGAGCTCTCCACCATCAGAAACAAGGATAGCGTGGGCCTTGAGCTCAATAGGTCCTGGACCCATGAAAACCAGCTTGCCTCCTAATGGACAAAGAGGAAATAGTTAATTTCTAGGAGGATGAGGCTCCCAATTTTGATGTCATCTTGAGTGTTCCAATGACTCCTTCATTTATATACACCTTCTGGCTTTTAGGCTTATTTTATCTGGCATTCTTTTCTAGAAACGCAATAGGGCCTCCAACACACTCAGGGGTAGAAAACAGTTTAGGCTAGATATTAATATTCATTGTAGCTTTGTTTGTAGTAATTTTGAGACAATCATCTAAATGACTAGCAATTTAGAGCTGGCTAAGGGATGAGAAGACTACTAACTTTACCATTTAGCAACAGAAGAAAGCAACTTATAAAATTAAGCTTAGACAGAGAAAGAAGTACACAAGAAAAATGGATAGAAGAAAATGTGCCAAAACTGTAAGAATTATGGGAATTAAAAAGAAAAATCATAGAAGATTAGGCTTAGCATCATGGCATTTGCAGCATTTTAGCTTGGCCCCCATGATTATACTTTCTTTTGGTATTAGATTATAATTTCCTTGATGGCTCCTCCTTGATTGAATGCAAGGGGACTACCAATAAATACTTCTTATCTGACCACAGCCTGGGTCACATATTAATGCTTCAAAAGAAATCCGGAGTAAAAAGAAAGACAGGAAATGTTCACATCCAGTAGCAGCATTCTAATGAGCCTACATAGAGTTCTGGCTTCTGAGTGCCCCACCCGCCAATCTTCCTCATCTCTAATGCCCTGGTTTCTACTTCTTTCTGTGCCTAATTTTGATTGATTCAAAAAGCTACTCAATACTTTCCCAATAAACTTCCTATTTTCAAGAATAGTTTATTCCTATCATATACAACCAAAGAACCTTAACAGATTCAGATACCATTCTGCATTAATGTCCAAATTTTCTGTAACACAGGAATGTATCTTTATAATAGAAGTATTTTAAAAGAGTAATTAAATATTAAAAGAATATTTTCATCTTTATAATACCTCTCTTTAAAAGAATTTATAATATTTACATTTCACATGGAATGTTCTCAATCATGTCAAAAACTTCTCACATAAGCCCTGAAACCGGGATGAGTTATTTCTTTTATTCCTTCATTTTATTGGTACATTTTAGGTATCCAATATGCCGACATTCATTATTGGGAATTTTTACCTTTACATAATATGTCCTGGTTCTTATCTTCTTTCCCCATTCCCCTGCCCTCCCCTCAACCCCTCTACCCTTCCTGATGTACAAAGACCCGGATGACATATTAAATCTGTCCCCCAGCTCTGACTGGTTTTGTTTTTGTTTTTGTTTTTGTTTTTAGAAATACCATAATTTAGTCTTCTAACCTATAACAAAGTGGTCAGAGTTATGACTGTGTATTGGAAATTCCAGAGGTCCTTTCATGCATACCCTAGATTAGTTTCCCATTGGCTCCCAAAAAATGTCAAAGTCCTTATACTGGAATACAAAAGGCCCCTCATGAGTTGCCACCCATCCCCAACACCTTGGCCACATCATCTTTTATGACTGTTCTGAAGCAATTCTATTCTGGTATGGTTTGCACAGGTTTGTCCCCCAAAACTCACACAGCAGTTTATCCCTTAAGGTCTTACATCAATCATATTTTAAGAGGGTAGAAACAATGCATTTATGGTGTTTAGAAATGGATGTTTTAGGTTTCATTATCAGGATAGGAAAAGCACATGACCCATCTCTCAAGGACATAATGCAGCCTACTGTGTGCATGGGGTGCGGGGGGTGCTCACAAAGGCCTGCACCATGCTGTTTGGACTTCCAGCACCCAAAACTGTGAGCTAAAATCAACTGTTTTATAAAATAAATTGCCTCAGGTTTTATAAAGTTGACTAATACTTGCTTCAAACACATTGACTTGCCTATTTTCAAACAGGCCTCAAAATATGCAATATACTCTTCCTCTACTTAGAATGTTCTTTTGTCAGATATTCGTATGTCTTGCTCCTCCTTGTGAACTCCTCGCTGAGGACTTCCCTCTCCAATGTATATAAATAGCATTCCAGAGCCTCTTATTAAATATATGTTTCCATATATTTTTCCATGACATTTGACCTCAGGCACTTAACATATTTTCGTGTCAAATACCCAATCCACACACCATTATAATAGTCACCAGATATTTACTTGACATTAATTAAAATAATGCTCATAGGGTACTGCTCTAGGGTCTGAAACCTAATGGAGATACTGCAGTGGTACCTGTTGCTATCACACTTAACATCTACAGTTACCCCAGCATCACCACGATCTGCTCACTTGCTACACTGACCCCATCATGACACTTCTGCCAAGCTACAGGCTTAATAACACTCTGCTTACCAGACTACCAAAACCCACTGGAAATTTCAACTTTAATTTTCCCTTCCATTGTCATTGCTCCTAGAAATGCAGTGATAAAGTGAATCCCACTGTGAACAAGAAGAAAGAAATATGACATGTGCTGCAGTCCACATATTTACGCTAACAAGAACTCTTTAACACACTGACATGTGGCATTGACATCCTAACTTACCATGCCCATCTAGTGGACCATGGGTTTGGATGGCATTCCAACTCTGAGACACTTGAGGTCTATATCTATAAGGGTGCCACAAGATGTGCATTAAATATAAACAGAGACAAGAGCCTTATGCTTTCCCAACACCAACTGTGCTACAGTGAACTTAGAATTCTACCTGAGAAAGATATATACATGGTCAAAAATTCAAATAAGACAACAGGGAAAACTAGAGAGCTAGCCGTGGTTAGGCACTTATTATGTGCCTAATCTGTAGGTACTGTTTGAAATGACTCTGGAACCCAGCCTGAGATGTAAGCACCCCATTCTATATTTCATAGAGCAGAATGAGGGCACAAAGCAGCTCATACTTCTTCCTGAGCAGGAGAGGCAGAGCCAAGCCTTGGAAGCCAGGCAACCTGACAGAAAAGCTCATATTTTATCCATTTCCACAAACCGTTCCTGGTAGCTTTTTCATTAATTAGGGTTGTTTTCATAGTTACATTTAAGGAAAAACATGTGTTAACCTTATAAGTTTGCCTATGGCTTGTTTATGTATGGTTTATTTTAATTTTGTTAATGGAGATATACCTTGCCTCATTCCAGAAAGGATTTGAAGCAGATTACAAGGATTAGTGGATAAAAATATAAACCTTAGTTTTGCCCTCTGTGCCATTAAGCAAAGTATTAAATACGCTGAGACAAACTGGTAGAAATTTGGACACATCATTACTGACAGGAGCAAATAGTGGTGATGATGAAGGAAGAGGAGTTTGGCCCATGGAAAATGAATGATTTGTGTTGTCAAGGGTGCTATAAACAGGACTGATTAATATGGTCATCATTAACCCCTGCTAACATGCATCCCGTCTTCACTCTATCAGTGGAAAACATTCATACGTCCAGGTACTTTAAAAGAGGATAATGAGGAATTCTGCAATTTTTGCCTAAAATAATTTAAAGTGATAAGCAAAGTAAAAGCTTCGTGTGAAAGAATATAGAACTAGTTCATCTATCTCTGTGCAAAGGTCTCAAGATTTCAATCCTCACACCTTATTATCTTGGAATAAATACACGTGGGCTGCTTCACAGGACAGTTACTTGAATACATGAGGACAATTGAAGGACTTTCTTTCTCCACTTTAAAGAGCTTGGCCCCATTTCTGAAAGCTAAAATAAAGAGCAGCGCTGAAATCAGCCTTGGGCTCTGACCCTCAAATTGCTTGTTAGGAGTTTCATGAAAGCTGACTATGTCCCACAAGTGACCTTGGGTAATTTTATAAAAATCAATCAACCATCATTATTGTTACTTCCCCTCTAAAATAAATAAATGAACATAACTTTTTACATGTAATCACTTCTTTCCATTAAACATCTCTTTTATTTCTTTTCAAGGGAAGCAAAAGAGACTTTTAGCAGCTAGCTAATGTTTGCAAAGTACATCAAAACCTACTTTTGGCTAACCCTCCAATTAACCATCCTGTGTAATGACCACAAAATAATTTGTTGTGTTTTTTTAAGAAAACAAACACAGACTTCTAACTGCCTTTCCTTTACAGAAAAAATATAGAGTATATTTTACCATATAATATTACTCTTCAAAAGATCTGGCTACCCCTGCTGTGTTCAACTCCTTCATCCTACTCTTTTGAATCCTCCCTAGTCAATCCTTACCCAGACTTTTCCACCAAAACAGTTCAGGATGGAGTCACAAATGACAACCATGTTGATTAATACATGTTCCTGTGTGGCCATTGCTCACTATTTTCCTGAAATCTCTTCACCTCACTTGCTCAGCACTCGATCTTCTTGGGTTGTCTTCCACCTTCCAAGTATCCCTTTCTCAGTTATCTTTGAGATTTCTCTGATCACCCCTACTAGCAGCACTTTGTGTGTCTGTAGACATGACCCTCTGGCCACTTTTTTATCCTTATGCACACTGCCTGCCTCAAGATTTTTAAATAACATTGTATCTAATTGCTGATGAATCCTAAATGTGTATCTTCAAGCTTGACCTCTGGCCTCAGCTTGAGATTCATATGCCAACTTCATGTTCAACACCTCTGCTTGGATGTCTATGAGCTTCTGATCAAATCTTAAACTCCTCCTCTTGCCACACAGATATTCTTGTAGTCCTTCCCACCTCCATGAATGGTTAATTCCATCCTTCTAGTTGTTCAGTCTGAAATCAGTTAGAGTCAGCTTTCACTCTCACCCTACAACCAATTCATTAGAACATTTTATGCATTCTACCTTCAAAATGTCTCCATCATCCAACCACTGTTCACAACCTCCATGTATACATTGGCGTTTAAATTATTCTCTTCTCAGCCCTGGATTATGTAACAGCCTCTTAACTCAGTCCTCCCCCGCCCCGCTTTTTTTTGCCCTCATCTGACCTCAGGGTCAGCTCTCAAAACAGCACCAAATGCTGTTGGCTTTCCTTTTCAAATAAACTGTATCATCTCTCTGCTCAAAACCCTCCAGTG